TCTGGTCCACATACGCTCTATAGCTCCCTTCTATTTTTCCTTGTCTGAGTAATGCTACGCTAGGTGAACTGCATGTCATAGAGGGTCAAGACACTTCAGATTGATTTTGGGTCATATTGAATTTTTGATTGGGTTGTTAAATGCTAGACCCTAACCTTAAATGTTTAGGTTAGGATTGACTCATGGGTCAATTCGGGTCATCCCAAAAAATAAAGARAAATATATGAAAATGTCAAAATTAAAGGAATTAACCTTAAAATTCCAAATATAAAATAAAAAAACTTGAGCATTTAACAATTCAAAGAGTAAACAATAAAAAATAAAAACTGAATAGGAAAAATTAAGGAGTATAAACTTCTAACAATACATAAATAGTCCCAATTAAACTTAACCATTGGGTCAGCGGATTGACCCATGACCCAACCCAACCCAGTTTTTTTTCAGGTTGAGTCCGGCCAGGTCATTCTCAAATTCAAATAGTTAAATATAAGACCCTAACCCTGATTTTTCAGGCTGGGTTTGGTCAGGTTCGCAGGTTTGGTCAACTTTTTTCCATATCTACGTACCGATCCATGGTGAATTCACACCCTCTTCCATATCCCAAGCCTTCCCTATACTTTCTTAACTCAGTTCAAACTTCCCCTACCACTGAATCCTAACTTTGTAATGACAAGAGAAAAAAAAAAAAAAAGAAAAAACCGTTCCTACAAAAATCATATGTATCGACATAAATATAAATTTGTTTCAAAAAGTCAGAATGCAAGTATGACTTGGTTTTTTATTGTGCTTTATTGTAATGGATACAAACAAAAATTTTTAGACTAAACTCTACCCTTTAATTTTTCCCATTGACCAAATTTTGGTGCAAAAGTTCACTTTTCATTGACCAAACTTTGGAAGCAAAGTTTGATTCCGTTTTGAATGTAAAAATGTTAGAAACGACAGATTTGCTTTTACTTCCAGTACAAAATTCTTACCACACAACTGCAAAACTGAATCGAGACAAATTCACCGTGGTTCTGCATTGCACTATTACCAAAGCAGCCTAATAAATGACAAAAGATACTTTTATGTGATTAATTTTAAAAATACCCTTACATAGATTCTAAAAGTACCAACAAATATCTGGGCATTTCATTGCAACATCTTTTCAAATACCAATAAAATCAAAACTTTGAAGGAGTTCGACTTAGATCAGGGCAAAGCCTGTGAGAATATCTCTCTAATTATGTGTTTTATTTTTTAGGGAGATATTCCTAATGTAAGGTTGTAAAAGGCAGTTGGAACAGTGTAGGCACGGCTATTTTCTTTGTAGAAATTATTAATGGTTGACAGCCCAATTCTATGCTTGACCTTTTTCTTATCAAAATTTGTCTCCACTCCTTTGTAATTTGTATGGATTTCTAGATTTTTCTCAATGGAGCTCTCAATGGTTAATACATTGTAGATCCTGGCAAGATATATATAAGGCTAATTTGGTCTCACCAAAATCTAAATTCCAATGATAGAGCGTTTGAAAATGTATAAAAATTCTGAAATTGTAATGTGATAGCAGATATTCTGTTAACTCATATACATAATGGATATGTGGAAGGAGGTCTATGAAGCAAAGAAAGTTTCAACTGGTTTCAAAAAGTATAGGGAGAGTTTTCCTCTATTCACAATTTAGGGGTGGCAACAAGCCGAGCTTTTTACGAGCTTCTCGAGCTCGGCTTGACTTAGTTTCAACCAAGTTTGAGCCCAATTCATTGGCTCAATTATGAAACGAGTCGAACTTGAGCTTATTAGAGCTCGGCTCATGAGTCTCGCGAGCCAACTCGAATATATATAATATTTTCTCAAAATCGAGCTCGAGCCTTGTAGAACAGTCTCAAGCCAAGCTCGAGCCTCGTACTATTCGGCTTGGCTCGGCTCAAATCCACCCCTAATTCACATCATCCCTCCTCTTTGTGCTTTTCCTACCACTTTTTGGTTTTCTACAACAAACAAAACATAAACCGGAACCATGAGAGATCGGAGATGCATGATGATGAAATGTTAATGGAATGAAAACAACTTCTCTTTAAACAAATCATCCATGGATATCTTTTGTTTAACATTATGTGTATTAGATTTTCTTCCTTTGACAAAAAATACTTGCCTCCTCTGAAACCAAATGTTAATCCTATAATTTTTCATAATTGATTACATGTTCTCAAACCGAATGGCATTCTTTTAATCCAATTTTTTTGTCTGTCAAGTTTAACTACGGTTTATTTCAAATATTTATTGCATATTAAATAAATAAATCAACTAATCACATTAAAGACATTATATAGTTGGTTTACTTTCATTGGCTTACATTTCACAAGATTTGCACTTCAACAACATTAAAGATTCAATTGTAACATGTTGCTTTATTACTAGTTCAAGTTTTTTGCTTCACAGTGCAATTCAAGCACCACATATTTTGCCCCGTCTTAAACCCTAAACTTTGCATTTCTTTGAAAACATTTTATTGAAAAGAATCGATTCTCAGATGAATCATGGAGTTTCAAACTCATATGGTGTGGTTGAATTTTGAAAATATAAGTTTCTCATCATCATCATCATCATTCATGTCTTATCCCAATATATGAGATTTGCCTAGATAATTGAATTGAATCCAAATCCATGCTTCAAAAATATTTCAAATATCAAATTGTATCTGAATTCCTATCGATTTGAATTCAGATTATTACAGTCTAAATTTAGACAATAGATAAAGAAGAAGAAAAGGGATGAAATGAGGCGAGCGGATGAACCCAGCTGCTTCCAAAGACCTATAAAAAAGTAGAGAGTCCTAAGGTATATCCCCAAGGAGAGCTCTTTGATGCTTAACTCAGTAGGTAGGTAATGGATCATTGGACCTAGCAAAGGAGGTCGGTCAGTTAAGAAAGCAAGAAGAAGGCAAGAGAGGGTTGTATTGTACATACCTTTTTTTGTGGGGATGTTATACCAGTATATAGGAGTGGTTCCATACTTCCATGCTCATGAGGAGTCTTAGTCCTGTAGGGAGACGGCTGTCAGGGCCAGTTCGAGGTTCTCGATAATTCATCTTTATCTTATAATGCTTCACACGCGGGCAAGGCAAGCTGGTCTATTCAATTATCGGGCTGGTTCGAGTCTCTGGGAGCTTCCTGGTTTGTTTCGAGACACGTAGTGGCATGGGCTTGAGCTGCACACATGGGACTCATCACAAAAACATTCCTCTCCAAATTCAATTTGATCCCTTTAAGTTGTAGGTAAATATGTATGGAAAAGTTGGTCAATGCCAATTTTCCTATGTTCTTGTTGCATTAAGCAATGGGCCTCATAGTAAAGTTACCCTTATTTTTCTGGGTAAAACTTATCCATCTCAGAAGTGGATAATGGATAAGTAAATTTCTCAATTGAGAAAAATTTTTACAAAACCTAATGGAATTATTTTATCCATTTTAACAGTTACTTCTTGTGGGTAGAAATATCATTCTATTATTTACTTGGGAATCCTAAAAATGAAAAGAACATGGATAAATACACTTACCTAGGTAAACGAAAACGAACAATGCTTAAGTGGAATTAAGTACTTTTGAATCCATGGCTAGGTCAGTCATGATATAGCACATCAGTCTGACTTGTGAGACCCATGTGTAAGGACATATTGTGTGGTGTTTGGCTTAGTATTACCAATAGAACTATAGACGACGCGATTATATTCCAACTCTAAGGTGGAGTTGTGAACGTCAAGGAAGCTTCCCTGTTTGGCTGTGGTTGAGGCGTTGAGCCATGAGCATTGGCATCATAGTATCTGTCCTTGGAGTGACCTCTTCTATAAGAAAAGGCCTCCGGTTGGTGGTTAGAATATGTAAGGACGGATTTTAAATCCATGCATGGCTTATTGGGTTATTGGCTTTGACACCAACGCGCAAAGACTTGAAAACTTTTTGGCATCTTCTCAACTGCCAAAATATACTTGCATATTCATGGAGGCCCATGAGGCAAACCAACTGTTGGAGGAATGAGGAGTAGTGGCATCTGGGGGACCTCTGATGGTAGGTCCAAAAGAGGAAACGCGAGGAAACCGCGTGGACTCGGGTACCATTATCAGTAGAATCCTCTGCTGCTTTCTCAGTTTTCCATGTGTTTCGAGTATTGACTAAAGCGCCTGTGGAGCCCAACTGAGTTTCCTTAGCTTTCCTCTCTCTGGACTTATCTGCAGAAGCCCCATGTGACGGACTGTATGTTCGCATTGGTGAGGCCTTCTACCATATCAAAAGCTCCATATATTTGTCCATGGTCTGTATGTAAAGGTAACTTATTAGTTATTTATCTCTGTCAAGTAAACTGACCAACCATTCATACATACTTTTTGTTGGCTCTCTTGGGTTTACTAGCTATAAGTTTTTTTTTTTTTTTTCTTCTGAAAATGGAGGTTTTTCACAAAAGAGTATTTATTGATCAGATGGGAGAGCTGACATGGATTCGCTAGAAAATTCTGATGACAAAAAAAGGAAAATCTGTTAAATTTCGAACCAATGAGTGTAAGCATGAGGACACTTAACATACATTTTGTTCTGCTCAGAGTAGTAATCCTTTGCGACTAATCAATCTGCTTAGATCTTAGATTACATCTCCCTAGTACATTAACATACATTTTGTTCCAGTATTTTCTGTTCACTGAACTGAAAACAGTGATACCAGACATTTGGAGGTTATGGGTGCTCTATACATACAGAACTCATGGATGACTCAAGCTGCCTTGATCCCATTTGGAGCTCTATTACAGTAGCAAAACAAACATTCTGACCGTGTGCCAGTAGTTGTATAGGAAGTTGGATCAGAGACAGGACAATCTTTCCAGTATCTGGACTGAGTGGCACGCAAGCCAGTGGCCTATTTGCAGTGGTCCCTGAAAGTTGAAGTACTACCACCCATTTGCCACTGAGCCCACTTATATGTTGCTTCGGTAGGAGTGGTTCACTTCCATAGTGAATAATTTGCACTTCTTAGCCATTCACAAGTCACAACTATTTCATAGTTGTTTTAGTACAGAAAATGAGAAAAGTTCAGCTACACTCCAGTCTTGGTGAGAAGAGTCTTTTGTGATACTTAAAGAGATGGATCAATCTTCAAACTCCAAAACCTCTACAAAGTTGGGAGAGCCAAGGTTAGAAGCTCTTAACCTCCTTTTTTTTTTTCTTAGCTTCCTATATTTTTCTCTTTTCCCCCTCTTATTCTACAACTTCCCACTGTCATGGCTTTCTGCTGATTTAGTCAATGTCCAATATTTGATATACCAGTTGACCTTTAACATAGGTTACTCATTATTCTAAATTATTCTCACTGAAGCTTGTATCTGCAGAAGATACCTGTCAAAGCTTCTCACCTAGTATCAGCGGGTTTAAAGAGCCATAGTGTTAGTGGGATAGATGGAGAAATAAGGAGCCAGAAAAATAGTTGAGGTGATACTTCATGATGTATCTAAGGTTTCTACATATACCAGAAGACTGCTAACATTTTCTGTAGAATCTAGATCCAGATATAGGAATTCAATGGACTAAGCTTTCTGTGAATGATCCGATTCTGATATTCTACTTCTTTTCCTGAAGAGATGGATGAATATACTTATCATATATAGGGTAAAGTTCATTGAGGATGGAAATCAGTAAACCCTATACAATCTAATCTTCATGCAGTGTCCAGTATCACGAAACAATCCTGTTGGGACATACCCATTTCCTTAGCTTGCTTAGCTAGAACAAAAGAATAATCATCTCTTCAAGGGAGAAAGCCAGGAAATGCATTTGACATGTGCTCATTCTGTTAGTAGATAAAGAAAAACTAACCAAGTAATGCCCATTGGAAGACAATATTTGCAGATAAGAGACAACGATGTTTTAACAACTATTTGAAGAGATTAAAGTGATGAAACCTAGCTAAGGGTGTAATGGAAAACAACTATTCAGCTTGGTAGAAATAACCTAGAGTTAGTCTGGTTAGTTGAACTTTCTGATCTCTAGGTAGTGTTAGTGTTAGATGCTGAAAAAGAATGAAGCAGAAAAGGTGAAAGGGAAAGAAAACAAGATAAAAGAAGTAATGGATGACAAACCTAAGAAACTTAATTAAGGACAGCTACAGTCTGGCCTTGTAAGTATCCAAGACAACTAAGAGGCCCATTCTATTGGGATGGGCCTAACTTTGTTAAGCGTAGTCAGGGAAAGGAGGCCCCACGAGGATGCATGATGGTCACCATGGTCCCACTCAAAAGACCAAAATGATTTACCCATAATTGTGTAGATAAAATAAAAAAACCATTTGATTTTTAAGATATATCCTTTTATATTATTAAGCAAGTATAATGGAAGGAAAATAAGTCAACTTCTACATGGAAAGAGGGTGACAGTTGGCTCGGCCATCTCCAAGTTTTCCTACCAAAAAAAAGGCGCTTTATGATTAAATTTAAATGATTGCTTTTATTTTCTAGATTTTTTTTTTATCAAATAATATTTCTCTTTGTTTTAAAATGAGTGTATATATGTATATATATTTATCAGAAAGAGAATAGTATATGGGTACAAATTTTGCACCTGGTTCTATTTTGCATACACTTTTTTCGTAACTATGATTTTCCACCCCTATCCAATACAACATTTGTACTTTTTTTCTCACTGGCATTTATTGGCAGTGCAAATTTTGCATCCCAAAAATTCATATAAAATTTGCACCACCTTCCTCATACCTTAATTATCTCTCATCATGTACAATGATGAGGAACACATCATCTTATTTCCAACCTCACCTCCAAACAATTAAACAATTACTCTTCTTCCCTATCTCCATTCTCTTTATATATGAGATGGGAATCATTTCTTCCTATTTTATTTCTCACAAGCAAATAAGACAGTCAAATAAAATTCCCATATGTGCACTCCAATAGACAGCATATGTGCACTCCAATGACTTTATACCAGTTTAAATAAAATTCCCACTACAAACAAACTTGAGCCTTAATTAACATGTAATACAAAGAACACAATTGATATATTTAGACAAGATGCATAGATAAGGCATACATAGAACTTTTCGTAACACATCGAACATCTTGTGGTACATCAATTATCTAACATCCCGAGAAGGCAGAAGTCTATCCCTAACAAGTTGCATATAGTTTTCTTTTCCTTTCTCATCATTCTCTTCACTTAGAAGCAGGTCTAATCCAGATTAGGCCTGTAAGTTTCATCATATAAACTCATCTTTTCACTAATTAAACTTGGCGGTTACCCATCATCCAGGTTATTGTTTCCTAAATTTATAGCATTGTAAAACCAAACTCATCTCTGGTTAGAATATACTTTAAATTTGGTTGCATGTTGCTTATTTATCAAGGATATCGGTACTTAGAGAATAAAAACCTAATCAGGAACCTTAACTAACAATTTAAGCTTTTAAGTTAAATGGTTCCTTTTGACATGGTATCATAACCTATTTGACCAAGTGCTTTAGTTAGCATTAAAATATCGATATGTTCGATACCCAGGTTTCGGTATCGTTCATATCAATATCACCAAAACCATGTTTTTCTGAACTTTTATTTTTTCATCAGATAATCATTACAGGAATGGGGCCCTTTAAATTTTATAATCCAAGCACAAATAGGTACATCATTGCCCCCATTACAATTAGTTAAATTTTAACATAAGGTATGGATGAATATGTACTTATCCTCACTTCAAGGTCCAATAGGCTTTTGCATGAGATAATGTATTAGAAAATAAAAACTTATTAGGGACCTCACCTAACTATTTAAGCTTTTAGGTTAAATGGTGATGGAGTAAGCACCACTTTTTTGCTTTTCTTTTTTTTTTTTCTTTTTTCTTAAATATGCACTTGATAGTAGGGATGATGATAAGGGGGGAGTCAAGTTATTGGGTGGGGGGTCCTTCTCCCCCCCAACCCTTTTCCCCACCCTATATCTTTAACTAGGGGTAGCCCATCCCATATACCAACAATCAGGTTGGGTTAATGTTTGGCCCCCGAAAGCATTTTAGAAAAATGTTATTGGGTACGCAGAGTCACATTAATACTGATTTATCTCAATCATGACCCAATTTGATTTTTTGAAATCCTAATTCTAACTTTAACAAAACCCATTATTTTTTCCTATGTCAATCTAATTTGTTTGAATAGGATTTTTGAGGTTGGACTTGAATTAGAATGACTTATTTACATATATATTATTGGGTCGGATTGAACAATGTCTTAATCTTAACTTAGCACGAAATTTAATAGGATTCATATTTTTTAACTTTAACCTTAACAAAAACTTTAAACCGGACTTTCTAGTTGGATTTTAGGTGAAGAATACATCATAGGTGCACTTTAGGAATTTCCACCTAGTTTCCATTTTCCATTCTTCCTCATCTCTCATTCTCTTGGCCTCCCTAAGAGAAAATTCTTAGCTCCGCCACTGATAATGATAATTAGCCAATTTTAATTTTTTATCCCTCTACAGGTGTTTAATAGGAGATGAATCAAGCTTGAAGAGAAGGAAGTGGTCGTGGTCTGAAGCCCACCTCCTGGGCTAAGTTCAAAAGAGGTTCACTCCCTTGAGCTTGTCATCCCTAGCTAGCTACTACCAATTTAACAAAGACGATAAAATTTTGGTGCCATTGTTAATATCTTTCTTGTGCATGGAAACAAAAGCTACACCTTTCTGTCTCAAACCTCCAAATTTTTCTAGAATATATCAATTCAACTGGTCCCCCTCATACCTTCATTTGGAATCTATTATAAGTACTCAATAAGAAGTGATAAAAGTTATAGTAAGGTTTTAAAAACTGACTCGAAATTGGAACCATTTTGGTCATCTGCTTTTAGGTTGATGGGACCGTCTGATTCGAATGGATGGTTCATTCCAATTTAAAAAATTAAAAATAAAAAAAAATAATTAAAATAGAAATAGCCAAAACTGTTGAACGGGTCAACAGATCGCAAACTAAATCATTGGTTTTTGGCCAAAGACCAGGGTTAAGGGTGAAATAGAAYTGGTTGCCTAAACTGTTCCCATGCTGAATGGTCCAACCGTCCAAATCAACGGAATTACGAAAACACTGAATTATATAAGATTTTTGGAATTTAAGAAATACTTTTGAAAATCCATTAGGCTCATATCTATATTATATAAAGACAGTATTTGTATTGCCTTGATTTTAATGCATGCCATAAAAGTTAAATTCGATTATATAATATATAATATTAACTTATATTCTTAAATGTATTTTTATCCTTTAATTGTACACATACATGGCCGTGACTTTACACTAGTTACAATAAATCCTCCCATTTACTGGTTTTGCCGAGGGTTAACCCTTTAGACACCTCTAGGTTTCAGCTGATAGGACAGTTCCTAGAAAACCTATAAATACTGAAATTTACCATTTGGGTTATAACCATTTTGTTTCTTAGCTGAGGGTCTCGTTTCAATGACTTGGAATCCGGTGGACCCATACTTATCTAACCATTAATATCCTAATTGGCAATGAGAATCTTCCATTAGACTCACCCTAAAATAGTAATTATTGACTTTCATCCAATACCACCTCTATTTGAGTCAAACAAAAATACGTATATTTGAATCTTAGAAAATACTGACAAAAAAAAAAAAAAAACTCTATTACAGTCGGATTGGATGTGCACCTTTAACTGTTTGATGTAGTTAAATAACTCTCGACTACCCATTCTTACCTCTTTAATTACTTGCTTGTGCTCCTGTCTAAAACGATTTAGGAGGCTGATGTTAGTATCCGAAGACCATTTAAAGAAGGTTAAATAAACCCTAGAGATAAAGGTTTTTTTTTCTTTTTCTTTTCCCTTAAAGCCCTTAGCTGCCTATGAGTTAGAATTATTTCAAACGTGTTTGGTTTTCAACTGAAGCTTCTTTTCTAAAATTATATGATTTGAAAGGATATTTTAGGTAATTTTTGTTTAGCAGAGTTCTCCATTTTTCATTATTCTGTCATATATAACAGAAGAATAAGTTTGTATTGGACGGGTGTTGAGTAGGCCTATCTACCACAAAAGGAGTAAAACCTATATGTATAACAAGTAGGCAACATTATGAGGGAGAAAGAATGATTCTGCAATTCCTACACTCATTTTTCTGCACTTTCTGATTGGTTACTTTGTGACAGGTGCTCCATTAATTATTGACTTCTTACCTGAATATAATAGGTTAGTGCTCGGAAACCATTAAAGATAAACCCACCTTTAAAATCTAGGTTGGATTAATCGTATTATTATTCCTTGTTCATATTTATAGATGGTCACTCCTAAAATTCAGGATACCACCCGGAGTCTGATCTTCACAGTAGCATCTATTTCCATTATGCATATTTATACAGAACATTCAGGATATTGAAAATATGGTTTGAGTTTGAACAAAAAAAATTGGCAACCTAGTTCAAATAATTCAGGCCAATTGTTAGTAATCATCCGAGCCGATCATACAAACAAGCCCATCAACTAATCTTAGTTTCAATGGAGGACTTAGTGGCTGAGGTCGACTTTCTTGAGCATGGACAAAGCAAAGTCGGAGGTTAGGGGTGGATAAGAATGAAGTTATCATTTGAGTTCAATTGGTGAGAAGATTGATTTGGCTCAATCCAAATTAAGCTTTGAAATAGAGCGTGAATTCAATATATAAGCTCGATTGCTAATCAAGATGAGCTCAAATAGCTCATGAATCTCACAAACCCAATATATAGGTTTAGTTTGTTTTTAGCTTGATTCAAGCCTCAAGCCTAAACTTGAACCTTATGTTTTTCTGTCAAGCTAAACTCGAGTAATCTAATATTCAACTAGGCTCAGCTTGTATACAGCTTGTATACAACTCGACTAATCTGAGAGCAGTTAGAAAGGTCACAGCCCTAAAGTTGGGGTAGTAGAACGGGAATGTTTTCTTTCGAAGTGTTTAGTGTGGGACTTCTGTGGTGTTTACCCTAAGGTGGAAGTAACAGCTTCCTAGGTTAGGATAGACTGAATTAGGGGTACAATTGAATCAAGTTCTAATCAAATAGTAAGGGCTCGAGTTTGATTAGGCCGATGCAACCCATAGCGAGCTGGCTTCATGTTGTGTCATGCTATGCTGGGCCATGGGTCGTGTCAGCATGGCCCACATTCTCATGCCATGTCATGCCGGCCTGCAAACCTTTAAATCCAAGCCCAGCACGACCCAAGGGTATGGATTGGGCTGTGGCAGTCTGTGTCATGCCATGTTATGTTGAACCATTGGTGGCACAACCCAATTTACATCTCAACTTCTAAGTAAACCAAAAATGATTTCATCTCTTAGAAATGCTATTATGGAGTACAGGGTGGAAAGTGACATTGAGATAAATAAACATTTGGATTGGAAATCTTGGCTGGAGAAGAGGAAGCCTATAGGCTCTAGGGGTGCAACTTAGGTGGCCCCAATCCGAGACATATATAGCATTGTCGAACAGTGTCACATTAGAAAGTGGGCTGATTGACCTATCTGAGCCTGGCCCAAGCATAACCCTAACTCGAATGAATCAAATGTTAGTGCGGGCTGGGCTCAGGTTGGATAATTCAAACTTGACCTTGGGCTTGGACTTTAGGCCCAATTAATCCAGCATAGTCCATCCAATTTCCACCTAACACGTGTTGTTACCTCAAGTGATGTCGAGCATGGTTTTTGAACCACCGTTGAGTCGGACGGTCGGACCGTTGGGCCTGAAAATCATCCAAGCAACTGGTTCTATTTTACCCTAAACCCGATCCTTGACCAAAAACCGTTGAATCGGTCAACAAACCATTGATTCGAACGGTCAAACCACTAACCTATTTGATCCATTCAATAATTTTTGGCCGTTTTTAGATTTTAATTATTTTTATTTATCTTTAATTTATTTTGTCAAAACGGACCGTTTTTTAAAACATTGATGTCAAGGACGATTACGTTTTTAGTGGTGGACGTATTCCGGGTACTCAGAAGACAAAGGACCTGCGTATGTTTTGGGGGAGTTCAGTGTGGAGAGAACTGAAAGAGATCCAAAAGAGTATGAGGGGATGAGCAAGCAGAGGAAGAAATTTTTCATTTGCTTGTTTTGCTTTCTTTGTAAAGCTGTTTTTAAGGGCTTCTTCTGGGGCTGGGCTTGTCTTTTCTATTGGTCCCTTCCCTTAGGGTTGGTTTTGTTGTTAGATTGGGCCTGTTTCTTGTGGTTATTGGTTTGCATAGGTGAGGAATGGTCCCCCAGGCTTAAGTTCATCTTTTGAGCTTTCTTTTTTTTTTCTTTTATTTCTTTGTTTTTTCTTTTTTATAAATTTTCTTTTATTATCTAAAAGCTTACGGTTTGACAGAAAATACAACTCTTGATAGAGCTCACTAATGGGGTAGAATTAGTGTAGCCATAATTTTACGACTTTGATGACTAAGAAGAATGATTCAACTTGTTTCACACATAGGAGGATTAGAAGCGAATGTTAGAGAAAATGCGCAGATTGTTGCCTCAAATAATTCTTCTTTATATTGCTGTTGTAGTTAGATGATCTACATCTATATTAGCACTTAGTCCTAGCAATCAGTTTAACCTTATCATAAAATATACAGACAATACAAAATTGATGCTGGTGCTTTCTCTTTCTCATACATGTCCATGCGTGTCAAGACTTTAGGATAAGAAGGGAAGAAAGGATTTGGCAGGCTAGACAACCATCTTTTGTAAGAGAACTGATGTTGCAGTCTGGACTGTCCATCAGATAGGAGAATTCTTTCAATTCACTAAGGGTCTGTTTGGTTTTCAGTCGGAATTGGAATCAGAATATGAATGATTTATTTTCATAGTATGTTTAGTTCTGACAGGAATGGGAATGAAAATTGGAATCAGCAGAAATCATGAAATTTCATTCTCAATGGAAGGGGAGGGAATGTCCATTTCCTTGCATGGGGGAATGTGATCCCACCAAGAATGGGTGGGATTCCAGTTCTGCCAAACCAAACAGTTGGTTCATTCCGATTCTAATTCCAGACCCCTATTCCCATAAAGCAAACAGGGCATAAGTGTTGATTTACCTCCTCATCAACCATTAGGAGTGCAACTTGGGTGGGCCCAAACCGGCCCAGACCGAAATTTTATACGGGCTGAGATTGGATTTTCAGGCCTTGGGCTAGGCTCGAGCCCAAGAAATCAGGTTTTTTTATTTTTTGGGCCAGGCCCAGGCCCAGCCCTTAGGTAGCCCAAACCCAGCCCAACTATCTATCTATCTATCTATATATATGCCTATTTACATACATATATACATAATTATATGTATACATATTTGAATAAATGCATATATATGTATATTTTTAGAGTGGGTTCATTGACCAACCCGAGCATGGCCCAGACCCGAGCCCAACCCAAATGCATCAAATTACAATGCGGGTTGGGCTCAGGTTGGGAAAATTGGGCATGACTTTGGGCTTGAACCTTAAGCCCAAATTTTAGGGCCAGGCCCAGGTTGATCATAAACCCAGCCCAACCTGCCCAACTCACACCCCTATCAACCATATACCCCCTTCATATTTGCCCCTTTTCTTATTAATGTTGGTTATAACAACTTCAATATAGATCTTATTTGAAAAGTCTCATACAAAATGACTTAGCTAATAGTTTACATGGCAAAGCTGTTGGCTTGAAGTATATATATTCGATTGATGAGAAGGATGAAGATAGAAGAACAAATGGAGTCATTTTGAATATTCATCAATGTTGTTACATGTGAGATTTATCTCTTCTCAACCTTGTCTATCAAATTCATGCCTAGGGATGGCAATTTATACCCTATCTGGCGGGTACCCACTCCTACCTGCCTCGATGGGGTGGGTTTTTTTGTTTGAAGGACGGGTTTTAGGATTTTACAACCCATACGAGTACGGATAGGGTACGATAATAGGCTAAACCTAGGTCATGCGTTGTTAAAAAGGATATAAGTTTTATGTATTAGGTGTTGAATTTAATAATATGTTGAGTTTTATGTAAAGGATAATTGATTTTTACATGTTTTAATCAAATAATTAAATTTTTTGTTGTTTGTTTGTGTTATTTTACTTATTTACTACTTATATATAATAAGAAATAATAGGAAATTAGATGCAGGTTCTAAACCCTACCCACCTACCCCTGAATGCGAGAAGGGTAGGGTCGAAGAGGGTTTTGTATTTTTATGTGCGGGGAGAATTTGGATTCTCAAAATCCAGCCCGCTACGAATTTTGGGGCAGATATAAGTTGAAAGGTTTAGAGAAACAAATAAGATCTAGAATTTATAAAGTCCTCCCCGAATCCACCCGGTTGCCATCCCTCCTATAAACTGTTAGCTAGAAAGAAAGAAATGATTTGTTTGAACCTACACTTACTTGACAAAGTTTCCAAGATACTGTGCATTAGAGTATAGACACCCAAGGGGGAGGGGGGCCTACCATTTAAAGGGCATAATGCTAGCTACCCTTCGGTCAATACACAGATGAAACTAATAAAGCAGTGATGGACTCTACGATCGGTAAAAGTATAAAGACTATGAGCAGTTTCAATTTGTGGGTGTCACCATATATATGTTGAGTATTGACCACATACAAATCAATGCTTCTGTGGGAGTCTACATGACTTTCCTCACTATTTCCTTTCTTGGACTTGTGCGGTATTCCGGAAAATCTGAACATCAATCTTTGGAAAGCAAAGAAATATTGAAAACAATTTGGAAGTCTAAATTGTAAACACAAATTTCTTGTTTTTTTTTTTTTCTCAACTTCTGAATATAGTGAAGTTGTTTTGTGTTCTGAAATCTCTCAAAAATGTCTACAATACTGTTTTACCCTTTTAACATATAATATATAAATTATAATATAATTATAAGCCTATTTTTGTGAGAGCAATTTCCATAATGCCCGAAGGGTATGATACTGGGAGAACTTTGACTGATCAAAACCCAAGCGTGATTTTTTTTTTATAGTAAAGTAAGAGAAAATCTATGATAGCAGAAAGGCATGGTATCGAAAAAGCTTTGAACAATCAAGGCACCAGCATGAATTTTGACTGTAAGCTTTTCCAATATCATACTTTTTTGGTATCATAATCAAACTCATATATAAAAAAGTAAAGATATCAGGTGGAGAAAAAACTCCGCCACATCTTCAAAAGCCAAGATAAAAACGACCTAAACATCATGTACAAAACAATAAGACAATATCAGAGAAGAGAAATATCACCTCCAAAGATATGAAAAGTTGAAAACTAAAATCAGGTCCGAGTCCTCAACCCAAAACCGGAGAGCACCAGAAAAGAAATAAACTGTCGTCTACATAGCCTTCCTACCTCACCCCAGCCCTGAATTTAATTTGATTCTCAAAGAACCAACCATACAAAAGTCCTTCAGACTTGATGCGTGGATAAGTATAGACCCACCCATACATTGTGCTTAAACATAATTAATTAAGATGGGATTATAAGGATTGAACACTAATTAAACAACTTAGTCAAAGAATCATTAAACCTAAAAGGTTAAACTGTTATGTGAGGTTCCTGAATAATTGAATATAGATTTTTATTCACTAACATTGATAAATACTGGGAGTTAGATTGGTTACCAGTTCTGTGATTGTTACCAGCTTGTTTAGGTATCATGCCCATAGTATTGTATATAATATATAATTTAAAATATATCATGTTATTTATTTATGTAACGTTACATCGTATCTTCTATACATTGCCTAACCTCTTAATAATTTAGTGCTGAATGTGTTTACAGAAGAGACCTCCTCAGATCTGAACGAACATTTGAGAGGTATTTTTAAAATTCAGAGTCGTCTTAAGAGGTAGTTGTAGCACAGATATGCTAAAAGCCTAAAACTTAATTTTTTCAGAGCTAGCTCACAGGTCCATTGGGCACTACTGAACAGCACCTTCGTCCTCAATGTGGGCCCTGGGGCTTTATACAATAGCTGTGTGTTACTGGTGACTTTTTCTTTCTTTCTTTGTTTTTTTAGAGAGAGAGAGTGTTTGACTAATGACTTGAACAGCAAGGCATGAGAAACATTTTCTGGGGGCCCATCAATTTTTCTCAAGATCGGGATATCTCCATGTTCTTCCACATCTTTAGGGCATAATTGGTTTCCTCAGTTTTAATATGTACCAGCTAATGACAGGCAGGTATTTTGTTTGAGACTCGCTATGAAAGCAGTAGCAGTAGGTTTTGAAGCATTTGGAGGATATATGATGAGCTATTTATCTGATTTAAGACACACTAAATTAGGTTTAATTTGTGATGAATCATTAAACAATACCCACACCAATGAAATTAAATCTTGAAAGCTTTTGTGCTGGGTTTTTGTTTGGGTTGTATACAGGAAACTAAAATCAGATTTTATCTATTATGAAAAGGACATGAGCTAATTAATTAACAGTTTGGGTTAGGAAACAAGGGTGTATACATACAAGATAATTAAACACGTCTGTGAGTGTTGGGTTATTGTCTCGGATCGATCAACTCTTAGGGGYTTCACTATGCTCTTGGGGGGAGCTTATGCACATGTCTGCTTGGATTTTGGATATTGGATATTGTCATCACACTAAAAGACTTGTGACACTCTGTTGTGACTGTGCAACTGATCGATCGAGCTGAAAGTTTTGACTGAGACCTTTTATGTATGCATGGGTAATGGGTTCTCTTGATGGAAGTGATACATACACCATGCATGCATCCAACCTGTCTGGATCCCTTGTGGGGGCTCTATTACAGTACAAAATCCATGCATTCCAACTATTTGTTTATTTGTACGGGAAAGTTAGAATGAACACGGAACAATTAATATTGCTTTCCAGTGGCCTTCTAGTAACTGATACTAAGGCTTGATTTGCGGTCAGAAGGCTGAAGAAGTGCCCCTCATTCTAATTTTTGGCTGGGATCGGAGCTTTTCTAGTTCTCTCTGGGCCCATGCAGATACAGTTGTTCCTTAGGCATGATTAAAAGCATCCCTACCTTGGTAACCTGATGAGCTTTATATAAACAAACAAATGAACTTCATTTTCATGTTTGTTTTCGTACTGAAGGAATGTGCCACTCCAGTAGTATTGGTGAGGGGAGCCTAATTTGGTGGAAACTTCGGAGAGCTGAATTAATGCCCCAGTCCAAACTCCAGCCTCTGCCAAGCCCACAGTCATGGTTAGAAGCTTTTAAACCCTTTTTCTTGTTATTATTTCTTTTATGCATGAATGTGTTTTTCTTCCCTAGTCGTCCCCTTTTAATAGAAGATTCCACTCCATGTCTCTATGACTATCTCTCTATCATGGGCTTTATTCTGATGATTTAGTTATTGGTTATATCTGAATCTGATCATGTAAGCTAGTAATTGACCCTCTATATATAATAGGTTGCTGCATTCTAATGTCATAGTTTTTTTTTTTTTTGGTGATTTAGCTAGTAGTATGATATGGTCTAGTAATGTAAGTTGTTGATTCCCAGGTGAAGTTGCTATAGATGTTTTAAATTGTTCTTCATATTGAAGGTCTTGAATATATCCGCATCAAGTTTTTGCATCAAAATTACACATAAGATGTGTAATTTGAGAGAGTGAAAGAGAGAGAGAGAGCTGTGATGTAACTACTCACCTCATTAACATTTGGATTGGAATGGTTCCTTAGAATAGACTTGTACATAAAGAGAGATCAGTGGTTAAGCTACTGGAGAATAATGTGCTCCATTAAATGAGTTGCTCCCTCCACTGGGACACTTCACATCTATATGCTTTGATGGGACACATAGTAGGGTCCACATACTCTGTATCTGCTGCTGAGGCTTCAACAGCAAAATAGTTCACCTCCTTGCAATCCCTAGCTCTATTTTTCAAGAAAACCTTTTCATTTATCAGAATCAAAATTAATAAAGCCCCAGAATCTCCATTCTCTTTCTCATCAACGAACGAATTATTGATTGAAAAATAAGAATGAAAAAGGAATAATATTTGGTTGATGTTCAATTTTTTCATGGAGATTGAATCTCGTCTTATGAAACTGCAAACCTATTGAAAGCTGATACATCTGTTGGCTTCCCTCTTTCTTCTTTGTCTGTTGTGAGAAAACATTGGAGCTGGATTTGTAGTTTAACAATTCACTGTAGTTCGAAGTTCTGGTTAATGACTAGGGTTCTAAGAACTTTCAGATTTTGTTTTGATAAATAAATGCCAAATAATGGACGGAGATGCTTCATGGGTTGAATATTGGAGTCATTCGGAGCTATGTCACAATTTAAAGGTCCTAGATAGCAGCATTTTTTGCTGCTGAAGCCTTAGAAGCAGATCTGGGCTAATTTTCTTCTTGGCTCCCTCCATCCAGAAGCTGAAGGCATGTCTAGTATTAATTATAAATCTTCAATATGGCTCCCTCCATCCAGAGTAGAATTTAGGGGTTCAGAAAATGACAAAGTTATATGGAATATATAGGAACACATGGAGACTGTAATTGTGCACCCTGCTGTGATTTACAGGATTTACTTTCCCAAGTGTATATGGTGGCCTCAGAGTGCAATATTTACAGCCTTCCTACAGTTTATGAAACCACAGAACATATTTCTTTCTTTCTTTTTCTTTTTTTTTTTAATGGTAAGGTTTGTAAGAAAGAAAAAAGGAGAAAAGAATGTTTTTACTGTATCGCAATTATCTGTCATGAAATCATCTAGATTAAGGGAATTATATTCTCTCTTTAAGGCTAAAAGCTAGGTAATGCATTTGAAGTTTGAACCTAGTAGATAAGGTTCTTTCTCCTTGGTATATACTGGAATTCGTACTATATATATCTCGATCGCTAATTCCAGTTATATATTGTTTCACGATGAACACAGCACTGTATTAGTTGTTATATTTAAAAAAAAAAAGAAAAAGAAAAAAAAAACACAGCACTTTCTTGTCATTAGCAATGGATCTGTTGTGATTTGTAGTAAAACATCCATAGAAGAAAACAAAAAGGCTATCTGGAGTTAGGGACTTGGGAGGGGTAGACTATGGTCCTAGCATATAATGCATTTAATTTCTTTTATAAACCAGAAAGAAGGTTTGAAGAGAATGTGTTAAAAAAAGGAAAATAAGAAAAAGAGGGAAAAAATCAAATGAAAAATAGGACCACAAAAATCGCTATACACTTGCATGAACATGACAAACCCAATAAAAATTCTTAATGGTCGATCTTCTACCTATCTTATCTTCTGTTTTTTTTTTTTTTTTATTTGAAGACTTCTACATCTCTCTTCTATACATATGTAATTATATATATATATATATAGGTGCTTAGTTCATTACTTATCGAAATAAGAACTGAGGTTAGAGTTTATTAATTAAGCAATGAAAATGCGCTTGCAAAGTTTCTTTTGGGTTGGGGGTTGGGTTAACCCAGTGATCTGTTCCATTTTTAGCTAGAAAATAAATCGCATGACCTTGATGGGTCAACAGTAGTTTGTAAAATTGCCTGAAACTAATTAAGAGATCAACAATTTGACAGGTTGGTAATGTTAGACTGAATACATTGTTTTCTAATTCCAATTTTTAATATATATTTTCTATTTCTGTTCTTTTTTGTTTTACTCATACGTAATTTGACATTTGGGATATAACCATCCCAACTGAGTTGTGAAAAATGAAAACTATTAAAGTGCATAATATTTGGTGTATTACCTATCAAGGCTTCAGCAAAATTTAGGATACAATAAAATGAACTAAAGAGAAGAAAAGAAAGAACAAAAAGAGATAAGAATGCAAAAGGCCAAGCTTAGCCAAGCCTAGTGGCCTTAGATGTGTCTTAACCATAAACTAAGCCTTGCTTTGGTTTTAGGCCTAAGCATTTTAGCCAAAAATTAAGGTTGTTATTTTCTTTTGGAGGGTAAATTAAAAAAGTCTGAAGGGCTAAAAGGGAGAACAGATAGCCCTTCCCTTTGAATGTATGACCAATACAAGGAAGCTCCTTAACCAAGTTTTAATATATATTTCTTTTGAGAGACAAATAACAAGATGTTATTAAAATGATAGGGAAATGTCCTGACCAAGATTTAATATATATTCTAACACTATGACCTATATTACAAAGGAAAATGCCTGGAGGATGGAGGAACTAATCCTCCCTGTAAGTGTCAATTTCTAAATATTCCATATATTAGTAACAATCTATATTTATGCTATTATTAAAAGTGTGAAATGAGAGTGTAGAACTTTTGACTAAAATATCCCAATTTTTTCATTTGGTCTCTCTGTAATTGTAAGGGCAGAAATATAATTTGAGCAACCACTGTCTCCTCATTCAAATCCTCTCATTAAGTCTTATATTTAAGGTATTAAGCCCCATTAACATTCATTGAATCATATTTTTTACTAGAATACCCCTATTTTTTAATTTGATTCCTCTCTAATTGTGACGACACAAAATGGAATCGGGATCTGCTCCTCATAGATCATTCTTCACACTGACCTCACAGCTCCATCCCACCGTGTATTGGGAATATCTCCCCACAAATAATAAATATAAGTATGAGAAATGTTCCTGATGTGCAACCAGGACATGCTATGAGGACGGTGTGAGGAGCACTCTATAAGGAGCGGATCCAAACTCTACAAAATGTAATTTGAACTACTTATTGCATTTCTCCTCATTCAGTTCCCTCTCATTAAATCTTATATTTAGGGCATTAGCTCTCATTCTTTTATTGAATCTTATATTAATTAACTATATATTATAGAAAGATAAGTGTGACAAAGAATAATGGCTTTTATTGATGATATAAATAAAATATAAATTTAAAACCAACCCAAAAATGCAATTGTTTTCCCATTTGGTGGTGAGTCAACAATTCAACCCTTTGGGTCAAAATGTGCCAATCCCTGATGCCGTTGTTAAATAATAATAAAATTTTAAAAAGATGAAAACACACATACATATTAAAATATAAAAAAATCGTAAAAAACATTTGGACACATATATAATATTGTGTATTCATCATGTTAAATAAAAATAAGTGTAACAAATAAGAATAATTTTTATAGAGATAGAAATATAAAAAAATTGTAGAAAATTTTGAAAACATATTATTCACTATCATCATCATCATCATAAAAAATTTCCATGTGCACACTTAATAGTCTTCCCAATGTCTACAACAATTTCCAAGATGATTGACTTGCTGCTTTTGTTGCATATTCAATAGTTTTTGAACCTTCCTCTTCAACCATGATAAAATTAGGCTCTAGAATTTGACATTACCTCTGCTTTAGGGTTTTCATAGAATTAATTACTCTTGAAGCAACCTATAGCAGCACTATCAACTAGTTGGTAAAACTGATATATCAAAGGGGTTAGAAGGGGTTTTCAAGAATTTCCTTTTAATATCAATCCCACTCACCATAGTGACTTTTTGAGGCCTCACTTGAGGAAGTAAAGCTGAATTTTGTGTTATATGTCATAGTATGAGGCTACCTAGGAAAAACTTATTATATTAAAAGTATAATAACTTTTAGACATTCATATGAATTTGTCATAGATCTAAGTTATTTTTTCTCTATTACAATTTCATTCTTCTCTCTTTCTTTCTTTCTTCTATCCCTTATGTTAACCATTTGTGGAATGATGAATCGTGCACGAAGAAACAATTCTACCCTAAATGGATCTCACAAATGAACAATCTAAAAGAAATATTCAATTGATTCCTATACATCACCATGTATTTCACATGTGGTATACTAAGCCTTACACCTCTTCTACAATGAAGGTCCTTGGTGAGAAGTCTATTTCCTGGATACAGTTTACACAACAAATCCAAAGAAGGATGTTAGCCAAACTAGTTTCTTGAAAAGTGCTTTCCTGAGCCACTTGGCTGATTTGATGGAGAATGGACCTACAGGATAGAACCCCTCTCCACAAGTTATTTTTCTTTTGGCTATTAAAATGGATTGCTTTGATTTTGTCCATTGTTCCTTTTTTGCTCCAATTGTTCAATGTTCCTTTCGAGATGCCAATTAAATATGGGAAACTCTGATTTCACGACATAACAATCTTAATCAATGTCATCTGGTTCATAATGAAGAATAAAACTTCAAAGAGGACATTTTAAAAGCTCGGTTATCTAACCAAAGGGGGATTTTGTTTCCATTTTGTCTTGGCCTTCTATGATAGGGTTTCTCTTTGGTGAATTATTCCCCCAAACAAAGAAATTACTTGGTTTTTAAATATTTTTCCTAGAAAGTACCTATTACCTCCATCCAAACATTTTTTTAAAGTCATGATGAAGAATTTATAACCCAAGATTTTTCTTATGGCCGGGCTTCTTTGATATCTATGGCTGGACAATGTGACAACCATCGTGCCTGATTGATTTATACACTAATGTTTCTTACTTGAATAGAGGAATTGACTAACGTGATGAGGAATTTCCTTCCTTTTTCTTGGAACTTTTTTTTTTTTTGTTGGCCTTGAATTAAAGCATCCATTTCTGACTTTAGAGCTTGATTTTCTAAGGATCCTTTGGAAAAGAAGGGTACAAAAGAAAAATGAGAAGGATATATTTAATCAGAGTCTGTACACGATACAGAAAAAGATATTAAATATGGTAAACAAATGCACATGCAAATATTGGCCAAAAACACAAGGGTGACATTTTCCATCTAATGGACCACATTGTTTTATCAAGGATTATCAAAAAAAAAATAGTAATATCAGAAAATGTTGAAGGGACTATATATAGTTATTTTCCTATATTCTTTTAAATAAGTAGAAATAGATGTGTTTAGAGTAGATGTTTATAGTAAACGATTCTTACTTTAGAAACTAGAATCTCCTATAGGTGACTGATCAAATGGCACCTGCCAACTAAGAAAATGACACTGCCCCTCATTATATGTCCATCTGATCTAATTAAAGATTTTCTTTCTTTTTCGATTGATCGCCATTTTCTTTCTCCAGTATAACTAATAATCTGTCAATTCTTTGTGTATTATTGGATATTAGAATGCATTTTCTATATGAAATTATTTTATGACATAGACATTGAAAATATATATTGAAGTAATCTGAAAGAAATTCTTTGAGAAAACCACTTTAGTACGTAGCTCTATATAAAGGACCATTTTATACTTTTAATATTTTTTTTAATAGTGAATAAAACTGTTAAATATACAATCCATCTCCCTCCCTTAAGCAATTTGTATCTCCATTTATACAAATGAAGAGAAATACAATTAAGTTTCTCCAATTTTATTATTCACTCCATTATCATCTCAATCTCCTCACTCTTTACACCCGTCATCCCTTAATTTGGTTTAGGTTGCAATTAGCATAGATTCTCTTGGTTCTCTATTCTAATAATTTGGGGGGCTCCATTATCATTCAACAATCCAAAGACTAGTTACGTGTTTCTTCCCCTTTGCTTCCCTTCATTTTGACTTCATTGTATTTTGAAAATATTAGAGTTTTGATTATTGAAAGGAAAATATATTTTTTTAGTAGTGAATATAGCTTTATTACAGGTAACTAACCTAATTACAAAAATATGATTGAAACTTGAAAGTGTTGCAATTGAACTAAAAAACTGCAAAATATTTATGTGGTAATTAATTATAATTAATAATCTCTAACAATTAATAAAATATTTTTTCACCATAATTTTTGGTTATTGGAAGTATATAACTCAAATTCTAATCCTAATTAATATCTAATATATCATATGGTGTATCTCCTCTAAAACTTTTGTTTTAGGTAAATAGAAAAAAATTATTAAAATTAAAAGAGAAAAGATATATATATATATATATACATACTTATGCTACTTGCTTCAATATCCAAAATAACCATGTTTGTTTACCATGAAAACGTGGAAAAGGGTTGGAAAGTTGTGTGTGTGTGTGTGTGTGTGAGAGAGAGAGAGAGCATGTCTGTGCACTAACTGAGAGACTGAAAGATTCAAGCCACATGATGAATTTGAAAGAGAGAATAATTAATATTGAATAATACAGTGATTTTTAATTTTTTACACAAAGAAAAATGGCCGATATGTTTAGACAAGATATATGAACACAACATAAATAAAATCTTTCAGATCCCAAAGGCCATCTTGCCCCTACATCAATCATCCGATCTCCAAACAAGACATAACTATTCTTATAAACAACAACACAAACAAATCATATATCAAGAAATGAGTGTCTTTCTCTTTGTTTTTTCTTCTTTTTTCCCATTCTTCTTTAAATAAGTTCAATTTAGATGAAAACTATGGTGTTATCATCCTCAAACCTCATTTCATCCAAACACGGCGGTCCTCCATCACCTAAGTGGTTCTCTTCTAAACTCATGTCCAGTAGAAACCCAAACTCATCTGCGCCTCTAGAGTCGACCTCAATCATGGGAGTGTTGTTCATCTCTTGAGGACATTCAAGAAAATTAGAGTTCATCATAGCCAAGTTTAGGAAACTGTGTTCTTGGTGGTAGACTGAGGACGAGAATGAGTCGAATTGTTTAAACCCACTTGATATGTTGTGATGATTAGTAGGAGACGAGGCAAATGTTGGAGAAGGGGCACCAAATGTGGATTCTAGCTCATTTGCTAAGCTAGGTTCTGTGAGACGCTCTCCCTTGCCTTTGTAGAAGACTCTACATAGCACCCAGTCTTCCTGTCAATCAGTTTAATCTTGTTAGCAATTAATTAATAATATATCAACAATACTAACTCTCTCTCTCTCTCTCTCTCTCTCTAAGCTACATGCATGCACTCCCATGCATATATAGCTATAAAATATTCAGTGAAGTAAAAATCCTGACTGCCATGAATTCCCTTCCCTAGCTATACCATATTAATTTGCTACAGATTTATCCACTTTTGATGCTGGTCATGATATCCACTCTCGTTGAATTTGACCTTTTCCAACCTTAAAGCTTCAATGTTTTAAATTTAAAATGGTTGTAGTTTGTTTGAATCTTACTGATAAATGAGGATTATATTAATGAGTGTCCAACCGTTGGTGGCACGTTCAACATTAATTCTTGAGTTCTTTAGAAGATGATTAATGATCATCAGAAGAATTTTAATTACTCGTCTGTCATTTTCCTTACAACTCTTAACAATAACAAGACGCTTTGTGAAGCCTTGCCTTGCCTATATCTATCTGTCTATATGACGACTATCTCATTATATTTATATTCTAAACAATCAAAACGAGTCATTAAGAAGCTGAGGACGGATTTTGAACCCAAGTCTATATATATATATGTGTCTATGATATGACCAGTATATGACTTGACCATGACTTGGGCCAGGAAATTGTGTAAACCAGCAAGTGGGACCCGTTCTTTAGGACGAGGAAATGTTAAGGAAATTGCATGCACACTCCATTGAGGGCACTTTGGTCAACAAACATCGAAAAATAACAAAAGCAGTTTGGGCATGCACTTTGGTCGATGAAACCCTTCCATTTTGTCATCTTCCCATGTCTATGGACACAAATGCCCCTTGTGGAGCCCACATGAGCTTCCTTGGCGTCCCCCTGTTTGGACTTATCACCCCCTAATTAGATGTCATCTTCAAATGGTGATGGTGGTAGTGGTTCCTTAGAGAATTTAAAACTTGGACATGGTATTATATATATATATATATATATGCATGTATCCAATTAATTAATGTCCATGTCTAGCTATGTAGAAATTAATTAAAGGGTGTGTGTCATGAAGCAAGAGAAAAGACGTAGAACAGAATAGAATGGTACCTCTTTCCCAAACCAAACTCTTGAGCTAGGAATAATAATTAATTAAGCCCAACTAATACTTAACCCTATTGTGAGTATGAAGAGCAAGAGTTTCCCCTTGCGACCAAACAGGTAGCAAAGGTCGAGCTTATATCTATATGGATCGTAGAGTTGTGTTCAATATCTCAAGGGTGACAGGGTGTGTGGGTGTGTGTATTGATTTGCAATAAATTAAAGTTGGAGTTACGTTGGAAATATATAAGATTAATAGGTAGGAAGTACTAAGTAGAGAGAAATAATGAAGCAGACTACCTTTGGAGGCATGTGTGGGTTCTCGAGACGGAACTCGTGCATGATCCAACCTGTCTTGATCCCATTTGGAGCTCTGTTGCGATAGAAAACTAGCGTTTTCCGCATACCAACAATTACACGAGAAGTTTGATCAAACACGGGACGATCCTTTCCGGTGGCCTTCCAGTAACCAGATGTCGTGGCTCGATTTGTACGCAACCCCGTCGCGTACTTGCGGTCTCGGAAGCTGAAGAAGTACCATTCATTGGCCCCCAGCTTTGCTACCTCTGAACCCAGACCCAGACAATACAGAAACAAATTATTAATTAAGCGTTATTTTAAGTAATATAGCTCCAGCTTAAGTTGAAGTTATAAGTTTGAACAACAACAACACAGACAAACACGCAAACACAACTTACACAGTTAGGTTGTTAGTTACGGACAAATTAATGAAACTTAGCTTCGTTGTTGTGTTTTTGGTGATGAATCTAGGAAAATAAGCTAGAAGCTAGAGCTAGTTAATCGGTGTTGTTGATGATGAGGGGAGTCACCTCTGAGAGCTTAACTTAATTAGAGCTTCTCACCTGGGTTCTATTTTCTCTTCTTAAAACTTACAACAGCTATAGTATTCAATAGCCTTATTAGTTTTACTTTATTATATTTTTTGTATATTCATGATGGGTCTGCGTCTGACCATGTTTTTCTCTAATTTAAATTACTAAAACAACTCATTTCGTGTCTCTTTCAAGTGTTTTATGATGATTTAGTGAATCTCTAATCTTGTAATCTAGCAGTTGACCTCTTCGGTACGTTGTTCATTTTTTAACTGTCTTCCATATTGAGAGAAGAGAGAGAGAGAGAGAGAGAGGGAAGAAGGAGGAGGAGGCTATATATGATTTTGATTTTGACGACAACGAAGGAAATGAAAGAGGGATGCTTAATTATGTGATGTGTCTAGGTCTTCCAGCTAGAAAGCCAATACCAGAATGTTGTAGTTGCAGAGAAAAGGTCCACAAAGAACAGCTCAAATGGTTTAGCTAATGGGTTCTGCTCCATTGATCAATATATAGGATCGATATGGTGAAATTAATACCTCCAATCCAGTAGTACTCTCCATCTGTGCTTATGCATGGTGGGCCATTCAGGATGCTAACCAATTAATGAAGTTAAATGGAATGAAAATATGATGAAGAAATTCAGTTGGGTGTCTTCGTCACCTTAGCTTGTCAGCTATAAACAAAGGATATGCTTTTGTCTTCAAGGTAGAAATCTAGGAAATCCATTCATCTTTTATTAGAGGAGTCTCTTTTCCTTAGTATATATATACATATAAGCTAAAGGCGGTGAAGGTGGCGACCAATCAGCAACCATGGAGGAACCCATGATTAGCTTTTACACCCATCAAGGACCCAGGCCCAGCTATTGATTCAATAAAGTGGGCAATAAATACTCTCTATAGCTAGCGCCATTCCCTGAGCACAATAGGGTCATGAACTTGGTGGTTAATTAGGATCATTCAATCGATGACGGACTGTATACTCATCAACTTTTGAATGGCCCCCGCTTATCTTTCGTTATCAATTCATCCTTCTAGTCATTATAGAAACATTGGGATGGTAGTTTAGATAAGTACGAAAGCTAAATAACAGCAGGAATCTTTATGCAAACGTCAAGGTTTTCTTTCTGAGAACACAAACAGAAAGTTGAGTTCATCTTGATCTTCTAAAAGATAAAATAGTAAATAAATGTGCTAAGAACAAAGAAAAGAGGAACAAGAGGGCCAGGAAACTACTAATCATCACTACTGTGTTATTCCATGCATATTGCATGGCTAATTACTTAATGTTTTTGGTCGTTCTTCAACATCTCTCTCCTTTATAGACATGTATGTAAAGGGATATTATATTGAATATTCTCTCTCCTTTCTTCTCCTTTCTCTCTCTCTCTCTCTCTCTCTACATATTTTCAAGCATGCAAGTATTCATTTCTGAACAGAAGAGAAGCTAATTAGCATATATAGAAGAAAAACAAAGCAACTTGTATTGAGCAGTGCAAAATTGAGGTTGCAGGTGCAAGGAGATAACAATATTATATATTATAATAGTGATTTGAAGTAAACAAAATGAAACTCATGAAAGGGTATACACACCAGGTAGCTGCCAGGGCTCACAGGTGTGCAGGTCAACCTCCACCATTGTTCCCTTTGAGACTCCCTCCTTAGCAATCTTTTTGTAGAGATAATGGCAGACCAGCTCCTCGTCGCTTGGGTAAAACCTAAACCCTGGAGGTAGAGTAGCCTCTATGTCCCTTAAACCCATGTATCCTTTTGGATGGAAAGATGACTGACAGAGCTAGGTGATGATGGGGTTCTTGATCGAGTTTGAATAGCTAAAAAAATTTTAAAAATAAAAGTGTAAGCAGCTCTACAGTTGGGAATTGTTGGGAGCTGGCATGAACAAGAACCCTAAAATAAAATCCCTCTCCTTAGCTGGGTTTCGATTATTTTATAGATGACAAGATGATCTCTCTTGTAGGTATGTACTTGGTGATGACAACTGGCTCAGAGGTGATGATCAGGAGGATATATATATACTAGGAACTTATGCTTTTGATGATGAGTTATGAGAAGAGGCTTCAGGAAGAACCAGCAGGGCCACAAGACATCTTGATCGATCTCTAGCTAGCTAGGGAGTCTCTTCTGTCTTGGGTGGATGAGGGGGGAAGGAAGTGCTGAGTGGCAATTTATTGCTACAAATGAGCAACAGCCAAGGTATTTAATAGCCAAGAGAAACTCCAAAACTTGTTTTCTAAATATATCCTGGTGAGCTTCTCCTTTAAGATAATTCAAAATTTTCAGTAAATAAGGAAACTTGGGTAGTTTTCAAATTAGGTGTTATTAGGCCCTCCCTAGCTCTCCCCCTCCTAGTGTGGACCATATCCCCAATCAATATCAATTTGACGATTCTCTCACCTCTCACCTCTCACCTCTTCAATGCATTTCCATCAACTGTTCGCATGCTTTTCTAGCCCTTCACATGCTCCTAATCAGATGGTTGTGATTGTGTGATGCGCGTGACTTATGACTATCTAGGCCATCAAATGAGCTGTCAACACCTTATTTTGATTCATGATTCTTGCCACGTCACGTGGAGACGTGCTAGAATACCACAATTTTTGTTCCTAATAATCAACACTATTAATTAATTAAACTCCCCCCCCC